GGAATTCCACACCTCTGCTGCCCCCCTACTCCCTGCTGCCCCCCTACTCTCACCAAAAATGTCCCTGCCTTGTCCTCTACTACCTTCCAGACAGCAAATTGTAAAATATAGAGATCCAGGGACCTCCCAGAAACCCCCAATATCCCCGGTCACTGAATCTGACTCCCCAGTGCCACTAAACACACCGACTCTTCATGTCCAGCGATGTTCTCTTATCCTCCCTCGCTTAGTCTCATCACCTTCCACATAAAGCAGTGTGCACCGGCTGTGTCAGAATTCACGCATTCTACACTGGGAGGAGCCATGACACCCTGGCTGGGAGGAGCCATGACAACCTGGCTGGGAGGAGCCATGACAACCTGCACTGGGAGGAGCCATGACAACCTGGACTGGGAGGAGCCATGACAACCTGGACTGGGAGGAACCATGACACCCTGGACTGGGAGAAACCATGACACCCTGGACTGGGAGAAACCATGACACCCTGGACTGGGAGAAACCATGACAACCTGGACTGGGAGAAACCATGACAACCTGGACTGGGAGGAGCCATGACAACCTGGACTGGGAGGAGCCATGACAACCTGGACTGGGAGGAGCCATGACAACCTGAAGTGGGAGGAGCCATGACACCCTGGACTGGGAGGAGCCATGACAACATGGACTGGGAGGAAGCATGACAACCTGGACTGGGAGGAACCATGACAACCTGGACTGGGGGGGAACCATGATACCCTGGACTGGGAGGAGCCATGACAACCTGGACTGAGAGGAGCCATGACACCCTGGACTGGGAGGAGCCATGACACCCTGGACTGGGAGGAGCCATGACAGCCTGGACTGGGAGGAGCCATGACAGCCTGGACTGGGAGAAACCATGACAACCTGGACTAGGAGGAGCCATGACAACCTGGAGTGGGAGGAGCCATGACACCCTGGACTGGGAGGAGCCATGACAACATGGACTGGGAGGAAGCATGACAACCTGGACTGGGAGGAACCATGACAACCTGGACTGGGGGGGAGCCATGACACCCTGGACTGGGAGGAGCCATGATACCCTGGACTGGGAGGAGCCATGATACCCTGGGCTGGGAGGAGCCTTGATACCCTGGGCTGGGAGGAGCCTTATCACCTGCAGTGCAAGGATCTGTTTTGTTTGCAGTGGGAAGAATAATATCCCCATATAGAGAGGAAATATGTCCCCTGCAGTGAACGGCAGCATGTCACCCCAGTGGGGTAGGAGCCATGCTACTCTAGATGTCAACTGGGAGGAGCAATATCCCTTGCATTGGGAGGAGCCATGTTATCCCAGATTTCAACTGGGAGGAGCAATATCCCCTGCATTGGGAGGAGCCATGTTATCCCAGATGTCAACTGGGAGGAGCAATATCCCCTGCATTGGGAGGAGCCATGTTATGCCAGATGTCAACTGGGAGGAGCAATATCCCCGGCATTGGGAGGAGCCATGTTATCCCAGGTGTCAGCTGGGAGGAGCAATATCCCCTGCATTGGGAGGAGTCATGTTATCCCAGGTGTCAGCTGGGAGGAGCAATATCCCCTGCATTGGGAGGAGCCATGTTATCCCAGGTGTCAGCTGGGAGGAGCAATATCCCCTGCATTGGGAGGAGTCATGTTATCCCAGATGTCAGCTGGGAGGAGCAATATCCCCTGCATTGGGAGGAGCCATGTTATCCCAGGTGTCAGCTGGGAGGAGCAATATCCCCTGCATTGGGAGGAGCCATGTTATCCCAGATGTCAACTGGGAGGAGCAATATCCCCTGCATTGGGAGGAGCCATGTTATCCCAGGTGTCAGCTGGGAGGAGCAATATCCCCTGCATTGGGAGGAGCCATGTTATCCCAGATGTCAACTGGGAGGAGCAATATCCCCTGCATTGGGAGGAGCCATGTTATCCCAGGTGTCAGCTGGGAGGAGCAATATCCCCTGCATTGGGAGGAGCCATGTTATCCCAGGTGTCAGCTGGGAGGAGCAATATCCCCTGCATTGGGAGGAGCCATGACTGTCTGGACCTGAATGTGACATGTCATCCAAGATGTCACCTGGGAGCAGCCATGCTGGGAGCCATGTTATCCCAGGTGTTTATCCGAAAGCAGAAATATCCCCTGCACCTGGGAGGAGCCATGTAATCTGCAGTGGGAGGAGCCATGTCATCTGCAGTGGGAGGAGCCATGTCATCTGCAGTGGGAGGAGCCTTGACAGCCTGGATCTGAAGGTGCCATGTCACCCCAGATGTCCCCTGAGAGCAGTCCCATTCCCTGTGGTGAGCTGCTGTATTAGGTCACCCCCGGCAGAGACAGAGCAGTCTGGATACTTCAAGAGACGCTACAAATTTGGCTGAAGAAAACAGGCCACGAAGACTACCGAGCACGTCTCGTATGGTGCAGCATTGTCCATGGCCTGTCCCTTCCCACAGTCCTCGGATCCCTATTGGTCACAAGGTGCCATCATCCTGGTGGTGGGTTTACCCTGAAATCGGTTGACCTCCCATAGTGCGGGCTTCCCAGGGCAGCTTGGGGTTTCCTTACAGCTCTGTGGCCTACGACCCAACACCTGCACATCTCCTGGCCGGGCCCCGTCCTGGTGCCCATGGGGCAGATGTCGATGACAATGACAATGACATTAATCTCTATTGTACGCAGAGCTATTGAGGGATCAGTTCAGCAGAATGGCCAAAGAGGCCACCAACGCTCGGGAAGAGGAAGACATGGAGGCCTTGTGGCTCAGGGTCTAGTACCTGTACGTCTCTTGGCCTGGTCCTACCCTGGTGCCCATGGGGCAGACGTCCTTTATTATTGGCTCTGCCCCAATAATCTCTATTGTACGCAGAGCTATTGAGGGATCAGTTCCATAGAACGGCCAAAGAGGCCACCAACGCTCGGGAAGAGGAAGACATGGAGGCCTTGTGGTCTGAGGTCGGGATGTAGATGGTGGATCAGGAAAACATATAATAATAGAGTTTAATGATGGATAGAAGGGAGGTCACCATGGGGGGAGGGGGGGCACTATACATGGTGCACACCACCAGGAGAACCAAGGAAAACATCTCATAGCTCTACAGCCATCACTTCCCCCGGGTCCCCAACCTATGGTTTTCCATTACAACATATTAAGGAGCCGACACTGAGCCCGGCCGGAGGAATGATTGATAATTTCTGGGATCCCGCCAATAACGAATCCACCGACACACGTCCACACCTTCAACGGGCCCAAAGGACGGGCCGAGTCACGGATAACACAGCGCCACCCTGAGCTCCCTCAGCCCAGTGTCAGGAGAGACGTCACCCTATTCTGACCCGTCTGTGGCCCCCTTATCCCGGCTGAGTACATCTGGACCCAGAAAACAGAACTTCCCCCCATTCAGGCCTCTGTGATCTGAGCAGAGCCGACCCGGACTGTGTCCAACCACATGCTTAAAGGGCATGTCCACCCCAACAATGATCTTCTCTTATCTCCTCTCTGCTGGTCTGTTATATATCCCATCAGTTCAAGAAGCGCAAAATATAGCTGTTGATCCTGCCAGAAATCCAGAGCCGTCCTGTGTCCATTTCCTGTGTTAACCCATTAGCCCCGCCCAGTTCACATCAGTGGACTACGGAACACCTTCCCCCTTTTCCAGTGCTATCCTGACCCTTGTCCTGTGCTTTGGTGATAGCGCTGCTCCTCTATACAGTGCAGTGAGTGAGCATTGTCACCCCGGGACAGGAAGTGTGTTACTGGCAGGATCACCAAGGGGAAAACTAATGCAGCCGCCACATCCATAGACTGGTGATCCAGAATACATGCCAATAACTTACCCGAGTCGCAAATTTAATGATCATCATCAACAGATCACACACATACAGCCTGATGTCAGACATTCAGATGTTCCATCCTTATGTCGTGTTTTCATGTTTTAAAAGCTATCAAGTCCATTTAGAACGTCATCTCTAGGATCCCTGGGGTGACAACGCTGCTGTGTGATTTCACCGTAGAGCAAACAGTGTTGTCACCCTGATGAAGGTAGTGGGAGAGTAACCGATCTAGTGGCAGGAGCCACAAGCTTGTTATGGGGGAGGGGTGTGTGGTGGGGTATGGTGGTGGGGGTGCCAGTTCCTGCCGTCATTTTTTTTAGGTTGCCCACTTTCAGACCCCCTCCCGGCTCACGGTATCCCGGCCCGGCGGGACGTACCTGGAAGATGTCGTTGGCACACTTGCGGCACAGGTTGTGCTGGCAGGGCAGGATGACCACGGGTTTGGTGAACATCTCCAGGCAGATGGGACAGATCAGCTGCTTCTCCAGGTTGTCCATGGTCTGCGTGTCCCCCCCTAAGGACTTGAACCCCACCGCGAAATTCATCCCCTCCGCAGGACGCGAGGCGCAGGACGCGGGGCGCAGGACGCGGGGCGCAGGACGCGGGGCGCAGGACGCGAGGCGCAG